CGGCGACGAGCAGGGGACGGCGCGACAAGCAGGGGTCAGCTGCGAGCTGGGGCCGACGCGGCGAGCAGAGGTCCGAAGCAGCGAGCAGGGGGCCAACGCGGTGGCGCGCTAGGGCCTGGCGCATCCCGCTAAGGGCGGGGCGCTCTAAGGGCGTGGCGCAGCTAGACTAAGGTGGGCTAGGGCGGAAGCGCGGGTGGGTGAGACCTACCTAGCGTGACACCATTTTAGAATAGCGAAGTAAACTCTAGGAGGGCATACATGTGGGATATATGGTTGGGTATTGTACTCTCTAAGAGAACTTACCCATCTAGCCTATAACTAGTCATATAACAGATATGTATAAGTTGACACTTCTCTCCTTCCCATGCCATGCTTTACTTACCTATCAATGTGTGTGCCCTCTCTGCCCTTCTAGACCCCGAGGTATATCTTTAAACATCCGTTTGTCCTCACCTTCATATAGTCCCTACAAGCTCTCCTTCACCCCCGTAGATCACATGTGTGTTTCCAGTCGTACGCATCCCAACCGTCCTCGATAAACTGAGCCTCTGAAATGTCCGAATACATTAAGCACATGAAGGGCAGGGTCCTAAATAGCAGACTTTTTTTGTCTGATGGTCTGATTTTCATACTGGTTTTTTGGGGTTTCTCTGATTTTTCAGACAGGGGCTTTCAAAAACTCTGATTGGACTAGACAAACTTTTAAGATTTCTCTGAAATTTTCAGACTGGGTGTACCAGTTTCTCTTATTTTTAGACAAGTGTTTTGAGTTTCTCTGAAACAAAGACATGCAGGTGTAAGGTGCTCCCATGCGAATATTCCCTTTTTCGCGTCGCCACACGTTGTCCCCCCTCCACATCCTTGGCATATGTGAGCCTTCCCGAGCCTTCTGTCGCAACATCTGATGTGGCTAGAGCACATGTGATTGGATACTTTACGGTATTGCAGAAAAGTAGACCAGTCAGAGGCCTTTGCGGTGCGTTACTTGGGTTTGCAGCGCACGGTGGGGATCAGACCATGCCTCACCCCATGCAGTGAACTTGCTGCAGCATACGTGCACTACTGTACGTCATCCCGCCCATCACGACGCGTCGTCTCGTCACTTGCCAGTCCATGCCGCCATGGCACTTGACCAAGAAACCCCCTCCCCAACCGCTTCTTGCTCCCTTCGTCTCCACCTGTCTCTTCTACCCACTCCTCTTACGTTCTAGTGTTGTTGTCGGGCGTCATGTTATCTTGCTCGTGTTCTGTTTCAGGTTTAGAATCCCCTCTCGAAGTAGGGCCAACATGGTTGTCGTTGTCGAGGCTGACGGCGACGATCAGCCAGAAGGGTGTAGTGAATCCCCGCCTCCCATGCGAGGCCTAGACTTCCTGCGTTCAAAGCTGTCGCGCACCCTTGCTGCAGATACCTCCCGTCGCCCAGCCGCTATTGACCCTATGCTTGCACCTTCCTCAGCCGAGCCCTCGCCATGGCCCGTGCCACTAGCATCCCCCCTTTTGTCGCCTGCGCGTTCGTCCAGTCCGTCCTTGCCTCAGCCCTTGCAGTCGCCCACACCATCGTCGGCGGTTCGCTTGGAAACCGGACTTGGGTGAGAGCGACTACGGCACCTACCACACAGAGTAAGTTTTTTGGATTTCGCAAATCTCCCATTGTTCGAACCGCTAGAGTCATCTAATGCTTCTCGTTGCTTGCCATGTGTTGCAGGTACGGATTCAGACAGCTGACAGAGGCGACGGCGAATTACCTTCGGCAGAAGCTGCTCGAGCACATCCTAAAGAGTCATTTCATCGGTCTCAGCGTCAACGAAGGTACCGATCGACGGCGCGGCAAGCACTTAATTGTCTACGTGACATTCGTGAAGAATGACAGGGTTGTCACTGAGTTCTTTGCCTTACTCACTGTGCATAAGTGCGATGCTGGATCCCTCTTAGCCGTTTTGCAGACCCATCTCGAATCGGCATGTGTCGACATCAATAAGGTTTCAGGCATCAGTACGGATGGGGCCAGCGTCATGAGGGGGGATCGACAGGGTCTGGTCACCCGCCTTCGGCAGCTCGTGCCGCACCTCGTCTCTGCTCACTGCATTGCTCACAGGTGAGGCGTAGTGCAGCACCACTTCCTTGGCAGGTTTCCCGACTTCATCGACTAGTTCTGATTTATGTTTCCTGGTTCTGATGTATGATGTTCCGTGTTTCAATAGGGAGGCTTTGGCAGCTAAGGACACTGCCAAGAAGTTTCCCGACTTCAACATGATCGACGACATCATCAGGATGCTGGCCGAGATTTTGGGACGCTCCTCAGTGTGGCACGACCGCTTCTGAGAGCTGCAAGAGATCCTGATGAAGACCTTCCTGGAGATGCGGTCTATCTTCGCTATCCGCTGGCTTTCACACACGGAGGCAATACTCCGCTTGGTCGCAGTTCTTCCCGCCGCCATCTTGCTGCTGCACAAGTACGACCGGGATTCATACGAGGTTGCAAGGGGCTATAAATTCCACTTCTGCCTCTTCTTCCTTGCCGACCTGCTGACAGAGCTCAACCGGCTTAACAAGAAGTTTCAGCAACGCCAGGTAACGTATACGCTAACGCTTCAGATCGCGCACATACTTTCGATCGCGCACATGCATGTTCTATGCTGTGCTAAACATGCCTTGGCTATGTGATTTTCTCGTGCTACTTGCAGGTCGACATCGCCAGGGTGGGAAGCATGGTGCAGAGCACCACCGAGGTGATTCGCGCACGGTACATCAACTGCGACTCTTCTTTTGGCGGCCCCAGAAGCAAGCACCTGCACAAGTTCTTGACATCCCATGAGCCTGAAGGTCGTGTGGTCGTCGAGGGGGAGGCGAAGGATGGCGAGCCGGTCCGCCACGAGTACATCCTTCACACGAAGTCGATTTTGGACTCGGAGTTCAAGAGCGACAAGAAGTCTTGCATCGTGTTGTGCCGTGCCATGGCCCAAGAGACGATCGACTGCATCGAGTCAAGGTTCAGCGACCTGCAGCAGCTCGGAGGAACCAAGCTTTTTCTCTCAAGCGCCTATCCCACTGCGTGATCGGACCGCGAGAAGAAAGCGCTTGAGTGGCTGGCGCTTCTGAAAAAGTTATTCAACAACAAGCCCCTGCCTGGTAAGTTCTCTAAACCAACATACTTTTCCAAGTGCTTTTCTGGATTACCCTTCTAATGTTTACTCAGTGTGCCTGTTATCTAAGTGCGATGCCATGCGTTATACTCATACTTTGTTGATTCCCTCCCCTCGCAATGTCCCCCCCCCTCCCCCTCCCAGGCGTTAGTTGGAAGCGCGCCAAGGCAGAGCTGGCCTCATTCGTCAACATCATGGACGCGCATCACGGGGAGATGGCGTACCACGTCAGCCTGCGGCACATGCTGGGGACACGCGACTGGGAAGATGCCTATCCCAATCTTGTTAAGATTTGGGTGGCAACTGCCGTGCTCCCGTTGAGCACGGTGGAGTGCGAGCGGGGATTTTCCCGCCATAACGTCTTAAGAGCTGGTCTTGGGGCAACTTCTGTGATGCCCGCTTGGGCGACCTTGTGTGCATCTCCCTCCTGCAGGATTACGACATGAAGTGGGATGAGATCGTTGACATGTGGAAGGCCGCCAAGCCAAGGCGGCCTAGCCAAGATGCAATTGCCCCCATTCTTGCCCCAATGTCCAGGAAGAAGAAGAGCAAGGCCGAGGCAAAGAAGAGAAGGAAGGTCGCTGAGCTCGAGGCTCAGATCAGGAAGTGGAAGGGGATGGCTGTGGTTGAGGAGTATGGGCTGGAGGAAGGAGAGGTGGAAGAGGAGGTGGAGGAGGAGGTAGAGGAGGAGCTGGCGGAATTTGATGATGATGAGGAGTAGGTACCGTAAATGTAGGGAGGGAGGGAATGGTCATCTGCCTGCATGCTCGTTCGTTTGTAACTTGCAAGTAGTACTAATTTAATCAAATTGCTAAACTGTATCTTCTATTGTCACACACAATAACAGACTATGCAGTAGAATTTCTCTGTATTTTCAGACAAAGATTCTCAAATTCTCTGGAAAATCAGACAAGTTTTTCAAAAATTCTCTGATCCTGAAAAAGCGCATCAGACAAAGTGCGCAAAACGTATTTGATTACTCAGACACGCTTTTTTCCAAAAGAGAACCCTGATGAAGGGGTCACTCTTCTAAACATTTGTAGCACATGAGAATGTAACGCATGGTGCATGTGACGATGGTAGTAATCAGAAGCACCATGCGACAGCTTGCGGTAGTAAAGCTTTGAATTTTACCAAACATAATTGATTCATAGCGCATCCCTTCTATAATGTACCCAAACATGCAACAAAAAAAGGGGTAACATTTAGCACATCATAGACGCGCGGTTGCTCATGTGTCACTATGTTGGACCATGAAGGAATAAAATTTGTGACGCGTGGTTGTTCACATGCTGGAGAATAAAACCCACCTAAAACCTAACCCTAAATTTGAAAGCAACAATATAAAAATGATGTACATTAGGAAAATCATGATATTGATGAAATATTTGAAAGATCAACGTAGTTGTAGACCCCTCGGGGAAGTTAATAAAAGAAGTTTCCCGCCAGCGAACAGAGCCGAGCCAATACCCAATGAGCTCCCAGACAACCTTGATCTTTCCGTTGCACGGCCCTGGCGAATGCGGTTGCCCCGCCACTTGGCCTGTGCATGGAATTCCTCGCGCCGTAGTGCCTGACACATGTCAGCTCGTTCCCGCGTTATCCCCGCGGTTCGTGCTTGGCAACTTCAGAGGACCACATTGAGTTTGGTGAGGACCAGCTTCGGCACAGCCCGAAGCTCACAAGCTTTGGGATCTGTCCACCTTGGGAAGGTTTCGCACGGCTCTGCCTTGGGGATTGTCCCGCCCTGTGGCGCTCGGAATTCACCAAACCAGGCAGGCTCGTTCCCTGAATTCAGATCTCAGGCACACAAGCCTGTCAGGTGGATGAGCTCAGCCAAGCTCCCAGTGCCTGCTGGCTTAGCTGTGACAGCGATTATATAACCTTCGCTGAAGCCGTTCCGATCTCACGCATCGAGTGTTGACGACCTGATATCGTCACACGAGAGCCTTAGCGCTGTCCGCCTTCAAGCCTTCTAGCTTTCCTAGCCTTCTTTTTGTTTTTGTCTTAGCAACTTCGCCATCATGCGTGAGTGCATCTCTGTCCACATCGGCCAGGCCGGTATTCAGGTCGGCAACGCCTGCTGGGAGCTCTACTGCCTGGAGCATGGCATCCAGCCTGATGGCCAGCTTATGACCGGCGAGAAGACCTGCGGAGGAGGCGACGACGCCTTCAACACCTTCTTCAGCGAGACTGGCGCTGGCAAGCACGTCCCCCGCGCTGTGTTCCTGGATCTGGAGCCCACTGTGATTGACGAAGTCAGGACCGGTGCCTACAGGCAGCTCTTCCACCCCGAGCAGCTCATTTCCGGCAAGGAAGATGCTGCCAATAACTTTGCCCGTGGTCACTATACCAGTAAGTGATTATTTCTCGTTTTCTCGATTTAGTCCAATTGCATATAACCTTACTGATCGACATGTTATTTTGTTAAAATAACCATCTTACTGATGTTAAGCCTTTTTTCCTTCTGGCAGTTGGCAAGGAGATTGTTGACCTGTGCCTGGACCGCATCCGCAAGCTCGCCGACAACTGCACTGGTCTCCAGGGCTTCCTGGTCTTCAACGCCGTCGGCGGTGGTACCGGCTCCGGTCTCGGCTCCCTCCTCCTGGAGCGTCTGTCCGTCGACTACGGCAAGAAGTCTAAGCTCGGCTTCACGGTCTACCCCTCTCCTCAGGTGTCGACCTCCGTGGTTGAGCCCTACAACTCCGTGCTCTCCACCCACTCCCTGCTGGAGCACACAGATGTCGCCGTTCTCCTCGACAACGAGGCTATCTACGACATCTGCCGCCGCTCCCTGGACATCGAGCGTCCCACCTACACCAACCTGAACCGCCTCGTGTCTCAGGTCATCTCTTCCCTGACTGCCTCCCTCCGCTTCGACGGAGCCCTCAACGTCGACGTTACGGAGTTCCAGACTAACCTGGTGCCCTACCCTCGCATCCACTTCATGCTTTCTTCGTACGCGCCGGTCATCTCTGCCGAGAAGGCGTACCACGAGCAGCTGTCCGTGGCTGAGATCACCAACAGCGCGTTCGAGCCTTCCAGCATGATGGCCAAGTGCGATCCTCGCCACGGCAAGTATATGGCCTGCTGCCTCATGTTCCGCGGTGACGTTGTTCCCAAGGATGTCAACGCTGCCGTTGCTACCATCAAGACCAAGAGGACCATCCAGTTCGTCGACTGGTGTCCTACCGGCTTCAAGTGCGGCATCAACTACCAGCCCCCCACCGTGGTGCCTGGTGGCGATCTCGCCAAGGTGCAGCGTGCCGTGTGCATGATCTCCAACTCGACCTCCGTGGCCGAGGTGTTCAGCCGTATCGACCACAAGTTCGATCTCATGTACGCGAAGCGTGCGTTCGTCCACTGGTATGTCGGTGAGGGTATGGAGGAGGGCGAGTTCTCTGAGGCCCGCGAGGATCTGGCTGCGCTGGAGAAGGATTATGAGGAAGTCGGTGCTGACTCCACTGAGCCTGGTGATGATGAGAACGAGGAGTACTAGCTAGCTGTATAGTTCATACCCTGCGCCAGACTTGTAATTTGATACTGCAATGTAGTTACTGTTTGCCGTCTCAAGGATACTCGCAAGGCAATGATCAGCAATGAACAGACAAACCTGGTGTAAAAGAACGGGGAGAAATACACGGGTGACAAGATAGAATACTCGTCAAACTGGGATTGGCCTAATCAAGACAGGAAAATTGGCTGAATATTCTAAGTACTCTAAGCGCCAGTCAACAGATTTACTGAAGTGACATTAGTTCATAAATTCGTCATCCTCGGTGCTAGGTAAGTGACATCAGTTCACAAGTTAGTCATCCTCGGAGGCAGGTGAGTGACATTAGGTCACAAGGTTGTCATCCTCGGAATTAGGTGTGACATTAGTTCATAAGGCACCTCTTCAGACAGCCAGGCCTTGCGCTGCTACTCATTCTATGTACAGGCACTGATGTTTTAAAAAATTTCAACTTCCTCAGTTTTCATACTCGAAGGCCTGCATCTGCTAACATGCATAAGGTCTAGTCTGCCCGTGACTCCGTGGTGCCCACTTCAGCCTTGTTTATCATCAATCTTCTTTAAGTCTTTCATATTGGTTGTCTCAACCCTGCAAAATTAGGGAGAGTGGTTAAACGATGAGAATAGCAGAGGCACGTCGACGAGCAAGAGAGCGAGACGAGAAGCAGGGCAAGGCCTGGGGGGGGGGGGGAGAGGAAGGGCTTGGCCACTCACGTGCTTCCGAGTATCGCCAACTTCTGAACTTTAGTCACATCATCACCCGACTGGTTGCTCTCAATGAATATCGTAAGGCTGCAAAACGGAAGACGGAGTATAAGTTGGAGCTGAAAGCGTGGAGCTATGAGATGAAACTTAGTTGCGAGACGTGGAGATCCATCTGATGATACCTTCTGACGTTTTGGAATTTCACGTATTTCAGGGGTGTCGCCTTTTCTTCCTGCAATATAGAAAACACACTGATGGTGGTGGTGATCCCAAAATCAGCAAACTAGTTAACATTTCATGCTGGACGTTAATCTTCGCCTCACCTGAACCTGATCAGCTGTGAGATTGATGGTGTCACTCGGTGGTATATCGCTCACATTACTGCGTCATACGAGGCATCCTTCTCAGACTTCATTTACACGATGATGAATCCAGAGGGAAAACGGAAAGGATTCCGCAACGTACCTGAAGCCCATGTTAGGCCTATTAGCAAAAAGCTTGATGCATTTGGGTCCTGCGAGCGCCAGAATGGTGAATGAACTTGGCTGAATGATTGGAGAAGAGCTCAATCACGTACTCGAAAGATTCGTACCTTCTTCTTCAGGACCCTTGATCACAATCGAATGAAGCTTCACAACTTGGTTGAATGGAATGTAAACTAATAGTTGCTCATCGACATCGCTCTCCAAGACCAAGCCATCATCTTCTCTGTATCCCTGAGATCGTTGAAAGGGAGTTCACTTAAAAAGTGCGTCTCGAGGCGAAACAGTTAAAGTACTTCAGGACCGTCGAAGCGGACTAGTGAAACCGACCTGCTTGAGTGCATTATCTACATCCTTCCCAGGCTTTGCATTCAGGCACTCCACTGACGGCCATTGTATGCAGTCCAACAGATCAGCCTGCCAACAAGACTAGAAACAACGTAAGCCACGGAGCTACGACAACGGCGAAATCTTGAGAAGCGGCTTACGGACTTGGCCTTTAGCGTTAGCAGCCATGACAAACGAGTGATCAGCCAATGGATCTGTCTACCAGCTCCTGTTGATCAATGGATGCTAGATTTGCCGATCAATGCTGCTACACAGATTTGCCAATCGAAGAGCATCAGTTTCGTGCTCGACATCTGATTTCAGTCGTGAAGCACAGCAAAGCGGCAATTGTTTGTGCATACTCCTTTCGATCTCCGCTACAACGCGCTGCGTCTAGAAAACATGGGTATATTGAGAAAGCTGGGAATCGCATAATATCCGAAGTGGTATCCACCAACATCAAAGGTGGCTTAGTCACGCAGGTACCGGTTCTCTGATTCTGATTAGCCAATGATTCTTGCAACAATGCTCTAGTGAGTCGTATATTAGAGTGATAGCCATCACGACGTGCTTTTCTCGGTACCACAATAGCTCAACTTGCTGAATCCGATACTGCCGAGGTTGTCTTGGACAAAGCAACACCATCTTCCGATTGCTCTGGCGTAGCTTCATCAGTGCAACATCAATGGCAACAGAAAGGGGAAAAAAAACACAGACACCATAAGGAATCCATACCGAAGAAGGAAGGCCGATAAGAACAGGGACAGCAAGACAAACAAATATGGACACCTGTCCTCCTGATCCCAAAAACTCTCCATTTCCAACCACCCTCATAAGAAGCCTCCTTCCCTCAACCCGCCCTCCTGCACTACGCTCTGATGCTCCCGAATCTGCCACCCAAAACCCTTCCTCCTCACAAGCCGGCCCCTTGTATCCCCTCCCAACCCCACCCCTCACATACCTGCAGTCTGTTTAGGCGTCCACAATTTCGGCACCAGAGCCTGCCCCTTCGCCACCAGTGAGCTCATCCCCCTCTCCTTCTCCCTCTCCTTCTCCCTCTCCCTCTCCCTCTCCCTCTCCTCCTCCCCACTCCCTGTCTGCACCACCTGAGACTCCCCACTCCCCTCTCCTTTCACCACCACCCCTTCACTACCCGTACCCTCCTCCACACTCCCCAAACCGCCACTGCTCTCCTGTGGCTGGTGGTGCTGATGATGCCGATGGTGGTGGTGATGGTGGTGATGCGGCTGCTGCTGCTGCTGCTGCTCTCGGCTCTTGAGCACCTGCTTCGCCCGTCCCAGCTGGTCTTTAAACAACCCTTTCACCGACGACACAAACCCATCCCCCATGCGCTCGCCCTTGTTGCCCAGCCGTGCCAGCAGCATCGACGCCCCGCCTCCTGCCACTGGCAGGGCGTTCAGAGGACTGGCAGCGGTAGCCACATTACCTGCACTAGCATTACCACTAGCACCAGCAGCAGCAGTGGCAGACGCAGTTGCAGCTCCTGCTGCAGCTGTGCTGCTGCTGCCAACCAAGCCAGGGGTAGTAGCACCTGGAGCAGCACCTGCCGCAGCAGCAGGAGTGGCAGTGGGAGCACCAGTAGCACCAGCAGCAGAAATTGCGCCTGAAATCAAGGAACCTTCTCCTGAGCTGCTGCTGGTGATGCCCGCATTGCCAGCTGCAGCAGCAACAGTGGGTGCAGCACCAGGAACAGCTGAACCTGCCTCAGATGCACCTACCCTTCCCCCTGCTGTACCCGCACTGCCACCACTGCTCGCATCAACACCCCCTTCGCCTCCTCCTCCCCCCCTGCCCCTGCTGCTCCTGCCCCTCCTGCTGCCGCAATCCTCCGGCCAGCCACCCCCGCGCCTGCGGCTGTTGCCCCCGCTGGTGCGCTCTCCTCGTCACTATCGCTGTCAGCCATCTCTGCTGCTGCTGCTGCAGCTGCTGCTGCCTGGGATTTGAAGGCGTGGTTGGTGATGCTGCTGCTGCCTCCCTGCAGGTGCGCGTCCTTGAACTTGCGGCCCTGGGGTTAGGGTTTCGGGTTCAGGGTTGGTAAGCGAGAAACGAAAGAGAGAGAAGGGGAATGAGACGCCGGGTTTAAAATCACCAGATGTGCGGGGTTGGCAAAACAGCCATCCATGTTGGGGTCTCTATTGCTCGAGAGCATGACCTTGTGACCAGAATCCCGAATCATATAACACTAGTACCTCAACTGTAGCCAGCTTGTTACAGTTACACACTAACCTCACCTGCATGCCTGTCACGGACTTGAGCACGCCACAGATGACGTGCTTGCGCAGGCGCGAGAAGAGCCTTCGCCATGGGCCCGTGTACTCGGTGCAACAAAGCGGCTTACAGTCACTAGTGCATCTCACCTGCATGCCTGTCACGGACTTGAGCACGCCCCAGATGACGTGCTTGCGCAGGCGCGAGAAGAGCCTTCGCCACGGGCCCGTGTACTCGGTGCGGGCGAAGGTGTCCATGAGCAGCCGCAGGTCCGTGACCGACACTGGGTACCCCTCGTAAGTGATCAGCAGCTCCACCTGAAAAGAAAAGAGAAGAGGCGGAGGGTCCAGGGCTTAGAGCAGTCTATTCGGTGCGTGCGGAGGTGTCCACGAGCAGACGCAGATCGGTGACCGACACCGGATAGCCCTCGTAGGTGATTAACAGCTCCACCTGACTAAGGGGAAGAGGCGAGGGGAGAAGAGAAAGGATTAGAACAGTCTGTTCGGTGTGGAGGTGTCCATGAGCAGACGCAGGTCTGTCACGGACACCGGATAGCCCTCGTAGGTGATCAACAGGTCCACCTGATGATGGGGAGTCAAGTCAAGCAGGGCAGGCAGGGGGAAGGAGGTCTTTTGAGGCGCCTCAAAAGTCAAGCAGGGCAGGCAGGGGGAAGGAGGTCTTTTGAGGCGCCTCAAAAGTCAAGCAGGGCAGGCAGGGGGACGGAGGGGACGAGAGACAGCGTTGAAGTCAAGGTGCACTCAGTGCGGGCGAAGGTGTCCATGAGCAGACGCAGCGTGGGTCCGTCGCCGACACAGGGTAGCCCTCATATGTGATCAGCAGCTCCACCTGACAGGGTGAAGTCAAGCAGGGAAGTCAAGGGAGAGGACAGGAGGAGGACAGGGTTAAGAACCCGTGCACTTGCTGCGGGCGAAGGTGTCCATGAGCAGACACAGCGCAGGGGTTTTTTTTTAGAATTCTCAAAAACACCCTGCATGAGCAGACGCAGTGCAGGGGAGTGACCGATCCTGGGTGGCCCTCGAAGGTGCTCAGCAGCCTAACCTGATAAAGCGGAAGCGACGAGGGGGAGAAAACAACGCTGAACCCTCATCCATGACTCATGCCACCACAGTTAACCACCCGCTGGCTCAGACTATCCTGAGTGATTCGTTTCGGAACAATAAAACTCAGCAACCCCCACCTGGCTAAACTTGAGGTTCTGAACGCACACGGCTTGCCTCCTCGCCCTCCTCTGCTCCTCCAATTCCACCTTCCTCCTCTCCTCTTGTGTCGACAGAAACAAACACACATACCGGAACCCACCTGGCTAAACTTGAGGTTCTGAATGTGTAGGTTGAGGTTCTGAGTGTGTAGGTTGAGGTTCTGAATGTGTAGGTTGAGGTTCTGAATGTGTAGGTTGAGGTTCTGAATGTGTAGGTTGAGGTTCTGAATGTGTAGGTTGAGGTTCTGAATGTGTAGGTTGAGGTTCTGAATGTGTA